CCCTCGTTCCCCGTAAATGGGGGAAACCTCCAAAAAAATTACAAATTTAAAAATCGCTAATTTTCGAAATTTTTTCAATTTTTTTTACTTAAAAGTACCATAACATTTTCAAAAATGAACATATCAATATAATTTTTTTTTATATAGATGCATAATATCATTACCTTTCATTTGGTATATTTTTTTCATAAATTTAACCTTTAACCTGCCCACAAGGGGGGATTTAAAATGACAACTTTTTCACAAAAAATTAACTTTTTCAACTTAACTTTTGAAAATGTTCCGGAAGGTCTGACACTTTTATATATATCTTAAATTAAAGCTAATGTAATGTTCTTTATTATGCAAAAAAAAAATTTCGGACTTTATTTTATCTTCACGGTGAAAATGGCTACCAAATGCTATTATTGTGTGAAAATTCTCGATTTTATTTCTTACATTTTTAACTTTATAATGCTATGACATATTGAAAAGTGTATGGATCAACATTATTTTTTTATGAGAAATAATATTTTTTAATAATCCNACATATTGAAAAGTGTATGGATCAATACAATTTTTTTATGAGAAATATTAATTTTTAATAATCTCTTTTTCATTCGATATACTTTATCTTAATCAGGATATTAATAAGGAACTAGCAGATCATGTGGCTTTTGGAATGATTCGTCAATTTTTTAAAATTAAACACTATCATCTAAAGATTTGCATCGAAGCGTTTTTTTTTTTGATAGTTATTTTAATAACTGTCAGATATCATTATACTTGATCCATCTATGCCACGTCACCACTGTGCCGCGACACCCCTGTGCTGAGTTTTTTTTTTTTATGGCTCTTATTTATTTTTTTAGTTCTCACTTGACCAACTTTTTTAACAATACATCAAATGATCACAACCATTATCTAGATGAAGAAGATATTTCCCTCAAAAATGTATTAAAAATTCCACTTTATCAATTAAAAAGTTGGTTAGCCTACATTATCCATACAAACAATTTAAATCATTCATTTCTAATGCTTTAAAAGTATTTATAGCCGAATTAGGTTTGATAACAGATTTCAACTACAAATTAAAATAATTTTACTTTGTTTTTATTAATTTCTTGTCTATGGTATACTACTAGTCTATAATATTCCAAATTTTTTGGTAAAATGTAAATGATTTTTACTTTCACCTGAATTTAACTATGAATTTTTACAATTATAAACAAATTTTATAATACGCTCAATTGAGTAAATTTTTATAACAACTGTTGGATTATTTTTTTTAGTTAAAGTAAATCATTAAAATTAATTAAGTTCTGAATTACTAATCAGGATATCATTAAGAAAATAGGAGTTAAGGAGTTATAATATATAAATAGGAGTTATAATTAAGGAGTTGATGTTTCTTTTGTAAATATGCATCAATTTCTTACAATTAAACACAATCTACAAATTTACATCGAAGCGTTTCTTACGATAGTGATTTTAATCACTGTAAGATATCATCTATACTTGTTCCAACTATCACACGTCCATATTGTACCGCGAACCCACTGTGCTTCCGTTTTTTTTAAACTTATAATTAATTTAAATAAACTTACCTTTCCCTGAGCATCGACAGGAGCTTCTTTTTGAAGTAATAATTTAGTCACCTTAATGTTTCCATATTTAGACGACAAGTGTAATGGGGTAAAACCTTTTTTTGTTGTTGCTATCACTGAGGCTTCATTATCCAACAACACTGATGCAACCTGCCAACAAAAAAAAAATTTAAAGATTTAATTTTTTCATACCAATTAATTTATAACCAATTGATACATTTTGGATCTTTTATTAAAATTAGATAATGCTGTTTTATAAACAATTTTTTTTTTTAAATATAGCTTTTATTAAGAATAAATTATTTTTATTTGATTTTAAAAATATTGCATCAGTGTTGTAAAGCGTAGCCTGTGCTGGTGGCAGTATTCACATAGCAAGTTATTTTTATATAATCTGCACACTAATTGATTATATATTTTAATATTGCGAACAAAAAATGGATAGTTATGATTTAAATGATAAAATCAAGGAAATGAAAGGTTAAATATTTGATAGTATACGAAAAATTTGAGGAGTATTTTAAAAAGATTTACAAAATTCTTTTCTAATTAAATCTACAATTAGATTTTTAAATTAAATAAAATAACTATTTTTAATTAAAAATAGGCCAAGCAAAAATACAAATATTTTTTTATATTATTTTTCATTTTAATTAATAAAAAAGAACAATTTGACAATAATAAAAGCATAATATTTTTGAACTTATAATAAAGTGGTTTGATACAATTCATTAATAACAAATAGAGATCAAAAATGCTATAATTTAACATTTATCGTTTACACCGAATAATATTAGTTACAATAAATAAAAACTATATAATTTTATCGAATGCAACATTTTATCAATGAACGATATATCTTTAAACTTTACACATTAATACTGGTCATATTAAAATTAATAATTAAACAACGATCCAAGCAACAAGGTTTATTTTATAAGTATTTCTCTATTCCCTAATTATAAATTAATAAAAACGTAACAGTTTTGTATATAACTTGATTTGATTAAGTCATAACAAAGAAAATGATAATATTTTGAAAATATTGTATCGTCAGTAGTTTATGATTCATAATTCGGAATAACCTTCATTTAATAAAAAACTTAAGGTTTTTATTTTTTAAGTTAGTGATAATTATAATTATTTTATTACAACGTAATATATTCACTGTTATTAAAAAAAAAATTTTATCACACTTTAAAAAAGGTAATAATTTTTATTTAAATATGATTATAGTTTTACAATGAGTTTTTTAATTAATTTAATGTAACTAATTATTTGGCACTATGAAAATATATATTGATTAATATTGCTATAGAATAAAATTTAAAAACAAAATAATTTTGGAAAATGAACACATCACCTTAATGGTGGCAGTGAACCCGTTTAAGTAATAATTATTTTAAAATGTAAAAAGTGTCATGAAATTCTAATACATTAGAACATTTTTGTTAACTTCTTTGGAATTTGAAAAATGTTTTTGTTTTAATATATAATGTTTAATCTAATTAAGTCATTTTCTATACAAATCTTTTGTAAAATTATTAATAATTATGTTTATTATAATTTTAATTGGCACCGAGTATATTTTGAACACGTAATAGTCCTGATTTTAGCTCTTAACTAAATTACACAGAAATAAGTAAATATAAGAAAAGATTATGAAGTATACATGTGTAATATTAAATGTTGAATGTATAGGTCTACGTAAATTCAAAAAAATTAATTTAACCTCAAACACGTAGTGATATTTAATGTTGAGGAGAATTTTAAAATTCGTTAGTTTACCACTAATAAGATTATTATATCACGCAAAATATTTTTTTATATGAAATATTCTCTTCTAACCGACCAAAATTTATCAAGCATATATGTAGTATCCACATGATCCATAATGCGTTTCATAATCAGTGATCTTACCTCCTCTTGGCCTTCCTTAGAAGCTATATGTAAAGCAGTATACAAGTCTTTTGTAGTTGAATCAACTGCTGCCCCATGCGCTAATAGTAACATTACAATGTCCACATTACCAAGTCTTGAGGCGATATGCAAAGGTGTTTGTTTTTCCTAAACAAAACATATTAATAAAAATATAAGATTTTTTTGGCAATTGTACATTTTAATCAAACTTACCCTTGCTCTAGCGTCAACTTGAGCTCCATTTCGAAGCAATATCCGTATTATATCGGTCTGATTAGCTCGTGCAGCTAAATGCAATGGTGTTTCTCCTCTTACAGTTGGTAAATCTGAATTAGCTTCGTGTTGTAATAAAAATATAACTATGTTCATGCAACCCATGAAGCTTGCAACATGCAAGGGAGTTAGTCCAGACTGCAAAAAATCGATTATGTGAAAAAATGTAATACAGTAGTATACAAAAAATGATTCTTACTTCAGTGGTAGCCTCAAGGCTAGCGTTATATTTGAGAAGTAGTTCAACTACCTTAATGCGATTTTTCTTACACGCGATATGCAATGGTGTAAAACCATTAAGGGCTCTGGCATCCGGGTCTGCATGTTTTTCCAGTAAGAGCTTAGCTACTCGTATGTGTCCACAATGAGCAGCCACATGAAGACCTGTCAAATAGTCCACGGTTACATCGTCTACAGGAGCATTATTATTCAGCAAAACTTTAGCCGCCTCTACGTGATCACCTTGAGCAGCCATGTGAAGTGATGTTAAACCATTCTGAAAACACGTTAATATCAAATAATATTATTTAATATCTAAAATTCTAACTTACCTTTGTCTTAGAACTTATCGGAGCGTTTCTTTGTAATAACATATCTATAACTTGTTCGTGTCCCGATCTTGCGGCACAGTGCAAAGCAGTCAGTCCGTCTCTTGTTTTCGCTTCAATGTTGGCTCCACTTTCTAATAATAATGATACCATGTTGCTTTTCCCCCATTTTGCTGCCACATGTAAGGGTGTTATATTGTGCTAAAGAATAAATTTATATATAATTTATAAAATTAATTTTTCAAAATTCTTGATGTTTAATTACTGTCAAACATACTTTAGCTGAGTAATTTACATCAGCACCTTTAGTAAGAAGTAATTTAGCGATACCATCGTTTCCATAATGAGAAGCGATGTGTAGTGGAGTGAATCCACTCTTGGATGTAACATCTGGATTATGGTCGTTCTGAAAATAAATTAATATAATTTTTTTAAATTTTTTGATAAATTTAATAAGATGGGAAGAAATTACTTGAAGGAGTAGATCAGCAGCTTTACAGTCATCTTTCTTTGCTGCAATATGCAACGCAGGTAGACGAACTTTACCCTTAGTATCATTTTCCAATAACACTGTTACCACTTTCTCGTGACCCTGTTGCATCGCAACAGCACACGGAGTAAATCCATCCTTAAAAAACATATAAAATATTAATATTGATTGTAATTAGTATTAAAAATAGTCTAATCTATTTTCTAACTATAAAATTTACCTCGGTTGCTAAATTTTGGTTGGCTCCATTTGCTAATAAATATTTAACAACTCTATCGTGATTTTCTTGAGCGCCCATATACAAAGGAGTAAATCCATTTTGACTTTGCACATTGACTATAGCACCATTTTCAACAAGAGTAACTACTACGTCATATTGGCCGGCTAAAAACATAAATGATAAAATTAAAAGGAAAGAATTGAATTAAATAATTTTTACCTAAAGAAGCAATATGAAGAGCTGTATTTCCTTTCTTTGTTGCAGAGTTAACATTAGCACCTCTCTTTAAAAGCTCTCGGACAATTTCTAAGTGACCATCTTTAGATGCCAGATGTAAAGCGTTTAAACCATTCTAAACATTAATTTAAAAATTAATAATGATAATAAATTTTTTAATATAAATATTTACTTACAGAGTTTGATGTGTTAATATCAATTTTATTTTTCAGATGTTCTATTACTTTATCGAGATTTCCAGAACGAGCTGCTCTAAGAAACGAAGAGGTACCACCATCCGACTAAAAATAAAAAAAATAATGTATTAATGGAATTTAAATTATTAGAAATTTTTATACAATTTAGGTACATGTCTTTTTAACTTTAAAAAAAATATTAGCACATGATATAATCAATAAAAAAGACAAAATATTTAACTAAAAGTTTATGAGATTAAATCGATTCATGAGTTAACATAAATGACAAGAACCTTGACAAGATTTCAATACAGTAATTGAATTGTAAAAAAATGGACTGTCATATTAAATATGAATGTGTTACGTTGTCGCAAGATTAATATTAGGTCTATCGCACACACCCCTAACTAAGGTAGGTGGGGTAATAACACCTAGCTTGTATTAAGTTTTGTTTAAGGTCTTGATATAAGCTTAGCTAGGCTTACCTTATAGATTCTTCTTACATGTATTTTAAATAGAAAACCTAAATAAATGTTAGTCTGCGTACTAATGGAATACATCTAATTAAAATATATTACATTATAATAAAATTGTAGCTTTATTCATATTAAAAAAAAAATGTGTATATGGGCAATAAATTTTCTATAAGGAAAAATCAGTATCTCTGAATCCTTCAATTCAACCATTGTTGAAATTATTATATTATAATCATTAAAATAAAAACTTTTTAAAATAAATTACAGTTTAGTATAAAAATATTATAATTATTTTTTCCGTTAATTGTACTGGTAAGAATAATTGATAACTAATACTTATATGGATTTTTATAGATTTTAATCACTACTTATGGAATAGAATCTATTCCATAAGTATTTAAAAAACAATTTTAAACATAAAACTTCTATTTCTTACTTGTCCTGTCTCGGTAACCATTTCACAAAATGTCAATAGGTATCTATTAAAAAGATTCACTAACTAATAAATGAGTTTTTTTTTAAATGATTACGCCATTTTGCGTGTAGGTGTTCCCATGAACGGCGTTTATATCAAACTGGCCCCTTTGAGCTTAACGCCGGCAACGAAACGGTGAGACTACTTTCCAACAAGCCCTTCGTTCAAATGTCATTACAACAAAACCCCCAACCGGCCAATGTTGCCAATCTTTTGTCGCAACTTGAGCACACTTGCCACAATAATATCATACACCTGTTTATGACCTGCATATTATGACTATTTCTTACTTTGCATCATGCATTTTGTTTAATAAGATTTATATATTTAATAATATTAGAAAGTTATTAGATTCATACTAAACAAAATATATTCATAGGCTATTGAAACTTTGATTAATTAATAAATTTATAAAAAAAATTAAATTTTTACGTATATTTACAAAATAATTTTTTTATCGATATTTTGGTTTATTTATAAAAAATATCAAAATCTTTTAATTTTAGTTTACAACTCATAATATATTATATAAATATAATAATAATAAAATAAACTGTACTGACAGCTACAAGCTTCAGGTGTTTTATTTTAATTTAGAAGCACGCGATATTGTAAACTGTTGGACGCGCCTTATCAAATGAACTAATTTTTTATTTAGAAATCAAAGTATTCAAATGGTACTTCTTATGATTTCGCAACTTGTTTGGCTTGTTTACTACTATGCCGCAATCTATAGAAAATTGTGCAAGGGAATAAGCGTTTAAGTTGGCAACATGCGGATATTATATATAATAGAAGAACACCGGCCCAGTATTTTGAAGGGAAAGTGTACCGTATCGAACGGAGACGGCTGTTGTGGGGTGGATAACGGCGAGGACAACGGTGTAATAATGGATATGTAGTAACAACGACGACGCCAGCCATGGTCTGTGCAAAATCAATACACGCCGCCACCGCCACTACTGCGAAAGGGTGTGCAGATTGTATCCTGAACGATAAGGTTGTACCCCTGGGGGTGGCAATCAAATTCAGCTAACAAATCCGGCAACGTTGAGCTTGGGAGTTTCCTTTGACGTTTTTGAGGTACGTAGTACGATATGGTTAGGCACCAAACGAAAATAATTTATAATATCTGTTATCTAACTCTTGATGGATATATTAATATCTCAATAAGTTGTACGAAGTGTTATACGATGCATAATATCGAATCCTAACAATCAATATATCAAGAGAGAGGTCATGTTTATTTAATGTATAAGATATTGGTTAATCATCTAAAACTATTTATTTTTTAATTATTGTGTAATATTAAAAATGACTAAAATATTCTCTAAGTATTTTTATTTAAATAATTTTAATTGTTTGGAGTAAAAGAAAAATTAAAAGTTAATACAAATTATGAAGTAAAATTATGCTAAAAAAAGACAATTTTAGTTTCGATGCGAAGCTGAGAAGATATTGGTTTTACTATGATTTGTTTCTTTTTTTTGTGTGTGTCTGTACCACTTTATCTCAGCTTTCACCGAACCGATTTCTATCAACGATACGTCAAAAGATCACAAATCGTATCTAGTCGAAGACATTACCCTCAAAAATTGAAAAAATTTCCCTCGTTCCCCGTAAATGGGGGATACCTCCAAAAAAATTACAAATTTTAAAATCGCTAATTTTCGAATTTTTTTCAATTTTTTTTACTTAAAACGGCAATAACTTTCTTAATAATGAACAAATCAATATAATTACTTTTATAGATGCATGATGTTTTGCCCTATCATTTGGTATATTTTTTTTAAAAATTCGACCCTTTACCTGCCCACAGGAAGGGTTTCAAAATGGCAACTTTTTCACAAAAAATTAACTTTTGAAAATGTTCCGGACAGACTGATACTTTTACATATATCTTAATTTAAAGCTTATGTAATATACTTTATCATGAAAAAAAAAAAATTTCGGACTTTATCTTATCTTCACGGTGAAAATGGCTACCGAATGCTATTTTTGTGTGAAAATTCTCAATTTTATATTTTACATTTTTAATTTTATAATGCTATAACTTATTGAAAAGTGTATGGATCAATACTATTTTTATATGAGAAATAATATTTATATCCCTCTTTCATTCGACATGCTTTATCTAAATTAGGATATAAATAAGGAAATAGTAGATCATGTAACTTTTGGAATAATTCATCAATTTTTTAAAATTAAACACTATCTAAAGATTTGCATCGAAGCGTTATTTATGATAGTGATTTTAATCACTATCAGATATCATTATACTTGTCCCAACTATGTCACATCACCACTGAGCCACGACCCCCCGTGCTGGGTTTTTTATTGTGTTTTTGCTAGGTAGAAACAAACAAGCATGGAAGCCAGAAAAAGCATACAATATATCTTAATATAAATCCCTTGCAGAGTCATTATATTATACTAACTCAACCTTTTTTATTTTTTGCTTATATGCTTTCATTTGTTTATCAAATTTAATTTCAGTCTACTAAAACTCAATTGTTAGTGGTCATTCTCTCATCAATCTGATACTATACAAACTTAAAATTGAATTTATTGTTATAAATTACATGAAAAGATGTTGCGTGTTAAAAATATTGGATTGACCTAAAATGTTATTGAGCTAATTTTTTGATAAGATAGAAAAAAATATGATGCTAGAATAAAACGCAAACTTTTTATATTTATGATAAAAATTTTAATTAAACCTTAATTTCAATGAAAAAGTTATATTTCTTACAAATTTTATTTTATTCCATAAAAATTTATATTTATTTAAATAAATTTGATAAGATATGTTAAAATTGTAGTTTGGAGAAAATGTATAAATGTATTAGATAATGATTACTTGTAAAAGCACATTGATGTTTATATAGTTTTATATAATACTTCATGAATAACGGATAAAACATTTAACTCATACAAATAAATAAATAATAAAATAATATTAACATAATTTTGTTATTTACTTATTAGTATATCTGATTCATTAATTATTGTATCAAATTAATACAATTAAAATTATTTTTATTAAAAAAATTTAATTATTAAACTAGCATAGTTTTCCTATATATCATTAAATTTAAAAAAATAGGCATGAGTAACATTCTCGATCATTTTACAACGTGATCTCATGTTTAAGTGCAGTAATATAATACAAGTTAGATATATTATATATCATCTAGCTTGTTAAGCATTTGTAAGAATTATGTAAGATACAAATAGATTAATGCAACAAAAATTCCAAAGAATTTATTTTTATAAAATTTTACATAGATGATCATCTAAATCTTTTTAAGAAAATTTCTTGTCACAACTTTAGAAGTTTATACGATAACTAATTTAAAAATAGTCATCAAATTGATTGGAATTATAAATGAACATTATCACAACGACAATTATCGTACAATTTCATCAAACCTAAATACAATGATAAAAGATACAAAGTTGGAATATGTCACCCGAAAATACTATTTATATTTTTACATATTATTACTATTAACAATAATAAATATTATTTATACCAAAAAATTATTTGATTTTTAAAGAAAACATTTTTTAAATGCAAGTATGTTCATTTAATTTTATAGTTATTGGTAAAAGACTCTATATATGAAGGGTACACGGAAAAACAAAGTCAATTTTTTGTCAACTGAGAAAATCTAATTTTTAATTTCAAAATTATATATTATTTTCAGTAAACGATAACTTACCAGATTAATCTAATAATCTACTTTTTCCATTAGTTCGGCGGCATAAAAGATACATGATGAAAAATAGAATATTATGTTACAAAAATCTGAACTGTGAAAAAATTGACTGTTTTTTTTATAGGGTACAAAAAAATAAAAGTAAATATTAAAAATCAAGTTTTATGTTAACATTTTTAGGAAGATATATATTACTCAAATGTAAAAAAGTTGAGAGTAATAGATTTTTTTTTGAATACTCAACCATAATTTCATTCATAGAGTTATATTTTTATATTCGAGTGATTTCCTTTAGGCCAATTCTGCATATAGGATCGATATCAAATAAATTCGATATTTATTGCTAAATGATGATCAAAATATTTATATTAATATAAAATTTATATTTCTAAATTATTATAAAAAGCTATTAAATAATGTCTTAAGCTAATAAATCAAGTTATGGAACATTAAAAAAATTTGTTTATTTTTCTACGGTATAACTTTCCATAGCTTATTTCATAACCTACATATTATTTTATGTTCTATATTATTATTAGTTAATGGTTAAAAAACTCTATATTATAGCGAAAATGTCGGTCTAATAATATACCTTTATGTTACATAACATTGATATAATTATGTAAATTATAACAATAACGCTCCGGTAAAAATTAGTATAACCATTAACTATCCATACAACATACATTTACAGAATTTGTCAACATCAATCAGTCGTTCAAATGAAGACAATATATTAAAGGACAACTTTTGTAACATCGAACTACAACTTGCAAACGATGTCTTCATAACTTAAATTGTGATACAATGCAGCACTTTAAAAAGAAACAGAACGTGCGTGACGTTATAGATTTTAAAATAATACTCGCATTAATTTCATGAAACTTCATTTCTTCTATTTCAAAGAAGGTCAGGGTTTATATGAATTCATAGGAATTGAAACCTTTTAAATTTATTTTCTAATAATTATACGTATACACCATAATATATGGAAGTTAAATTAATCCAAAGTTATTTTAATAATTTTGACGTGTTCCTATTATTTAAACATACAGTAGATATTAATATAATTCGGAATAAAAATTAAAAAATTGTATTCATTTGAACAAACGTATTTAATTCAGTTTATTCAGCCATTAATCTGGTACTAAAATCAAATCTCAATAACAATTATAATCTTAATTCAAATTTCCAGTAGTTTGTGTGGGGTATACCCACTAATAATTTTTCATAATTAACGTTTGTGCGAAAACATTACTGCAAATTCCATTTAAGAATATGTTTATAATTTAACATATTACGAATACACAAAGAAATTATATTGAAATAACGTAAGTAAAACATTTTTGTTTTACCTAGTCACAATTGCATGACATTAGTCATCGTAGTTTTGAATGGAGGGTAATCACATCAATTGTGGATACAAGTGTGAGGGTTACAATAAAACCTCACATTAAAACGCCAATTATCTATAACCTTGTAATATAATACTTCAGTAGTCTCTGAAACGTAATGACAACCACTGACGTACTTACACCGAGGGTGGCAAACAGAGTGTGATACAATCACTTACAACTTGTTGTGTGTGCGACTGATATGCAAATTACTAACAAGTGCATATTAGTTTCAACATTTTTATTTATACAACAATAACAAGTGGTAAGGTATTTTTCAACCTGAGTTGTTGTAAATCCTAATATCAATTTTGTTAATCTTAAAAACGAAGAAAAATTATGTAAAGACACAAATAATCATGATTTAAAATTACGTGTTTTAGTATGTAAATATTTATTAAAGATTTTACATAAAATAATAACTAATAAAATGGCAAGCAATGGAGATATTTCTATATTGATAGTTTTAACGGTTGACTTAATGTTCCAAGATTAACAATGTTTTCACAGTTAGTAGAAATAAAATCATAATTCAATTACGTCGTTCCGGCTCGTGGTATCTATTACTTACGTTGATGCTGAGGGTCGATAGGAACTGCTTGCTGGGCATATTATTTCTGATTTATCAATTAAATTTTAACGAACTAAATTTTTTTTTTAATCGATAATTTAAAGTAAAAGTTTTACACTTTTTTAATTTAAAGTTTAATTTTTTGGTTTTATTATTCCTGCGACACGTCAATAATATCAGCTGATATTCAGTGGCGATGCACTGGACCCGTTGTGCATTCCATACAACAACGACAGAAAATCTCCGGACGAGGAATTCGTGTATACTCAGTAATAATTTCTACGAGAACGTTTCTATATGCGCGATGTGTTAGCATGCAGGACCGTAAAAATAGCATTGATATAAATAAAAACTTTGCGCATAAGGCTTTCGGCGGGGCTCTTGCATTGATGAAGACACCTCATAGTGGTTCAAGCGTAGTTATAACAACGAGAATATTATAACTAAATATAATTAAATAATGCGCATTTCTTCATTTAAATTGTGTTGCTGCATTATCACATTTACATTATCAGGAGCATTACAAAATTACTTGATGTCATTCGATGTAAATACATATAAGTTGTATTATGGGAAAAATCGTTGTGTATTTTGATGACTACCAGACGCGTACATGATAAATTGTTTCTGAGATCATCCCCTAAAAATTCACACCTGATTACTGCACATGATTCGCAAAAAGATAACAATGTTAACATGTATTATACAGGGTGTTCAGTAAGTCAGGAAACGGGTTTCTATTGTTCTCATTGTTACAAACAATGAGAACAATAGAAACCCGTTTCCTGACTTACTGAACACCCTGTATANTGAGAACAATAGAAACCCGTTTCCAGACTTACTGAACACCCTGTATACATATATTAAATAATTTAAGCTTAGATAACTAATCAAATTAACATATCATCATTTGATTTATCAGTATTTATTCGTGATAAAATATTTGTTAACAGAGGTGTATTTGTTTGCCCTTCCCTCGTATTAGATTATTATTATAATATACAATGTTTCACTCTCGTTGTAAATTCTGCGTACGTCACAGATTGTAATTAGTAGAAATATTTCACATAAATTTACTTATCTCTCACTTTACGAAAAACATTTTTTAGAACCCTAACTGTAAATTTTATAGATTTTTAATCCATCATTTTCTCAGACTTATTTGTGTCTTTATATTCAAAACAAATATTTTTAGATTTTTAATTATTTTCTTTTTTGCTTATCAAAAATGTTTTACTTAGACAAATATGACTTTGCATCGCTATTTAAGAAAATTCGAATAAGCATAAAATTAAGGTTAATACGATTAAAAAATTCAAACACTACTAATATTTCGAGTATGGTTACAATACACAACCCCTTTGATTGCGTCACTGTATTCAACACATATTTAATATATAAATTAGGTCGTATACTAAATAAAATTAAAAAAAATTACATTAATATCTAGATTAGAAAAAAAATTAAGTAGTATGCAGACGTGTATTTTTTATTAGGAGGATTTTATATTGTTCTGTTGCTCCAATAAGCCTTTGTTGCTAAATTGCAACATAAAACACGCAAACAATTTTTTTTATTATAATAAATATATTTATAGACAAACATTGAAAATCATTTTTAATTCAGTATTAAAAATGCGAAATTTACTTTAACATATATTTATTGATCGTCATGTAAATAAATTTTTTTTTTCAGTTTGTTTGACACCAGCCAATCAAATAAAAATTTAGTTTAGCGGCAGTAACAATAGTGCAATGGTCTCCCATTTCTTTCTATTCTTAAATATAATTTTATTATTTCTAAAATTAATTTTAAACCAAATTAACCAAAATACAAAGCCATAATACTTAAAACTATTTTTTTTTGTGATAAAATACTTTAATCATAATTTATTTACTACAGATATAACGAACCTTAAAATAGTAATATTAAATATAATACCACTCACTTTTTTTGGTGGTTTTTCCTGATTTTGATCCATAGTCACAGCTGAGACTGTAGGGCGAATAAATATAAAATGTTTAACGAGGTCATGACATATTGTCTTCTTACACGATAGCTCTAACAATCATTAAATACATTTGTTGAAATAAGTGCACTACGACTACTTAACTATAACTCCGGTTATTGCTGTTGAAATGCATTACATAGAACACGTCCTTAATACATGAATGCCGTGAGAATACGAAACCCACGGCTCCAGTTATCAGATGCAGAACTTAGCGGGTGGTGATCGATCCTAGATGTTAAAGGGAAGAACACATTCTAACGTGATCTCTGGAGTTTATTAGGCGTTTATGCGTCTCATATTATTTATGTTAATTTTTTTTTTAGTAGTAAATGAAATAATAAAGCTACCATAAAATCGATCTTATCTATCATTTATCAAAAAATATTGTTTAAATTTAACATTTTCTGTAAGAAAATTAAACACATATATATTTAATTTTTATTTAAATATATGTATTACATATATTTCAAATAAATTACAGAATAATATGAATTTCATGGTTAATTATAATTCATACATGTAAATGTTATGGCAGTTTGAAATTAAAGCCACATTTAAAGTTTTTTTTAATAAAAAAAACTTAACACTCACAAAAAGAAAAATTGGGCGTAATTTTTTCAATGTAGGATTCTAACTCAAAAATTTCATTTTTTTTTTTTATACATTTGCGTATTAATGAAAATATAACTGGCATTAATCAAAAATACTTTACCTCATGATAAGTTGAAATAAAGTTCATTTTTTGGAATTAATTAAGAAGAATTACGAAAATTCAAAATATATATTTTATTTCAGTTAAATTAAATTATTCGGTGAAAAATACTATTACAATTTTACTTAAAATAATATTTAAAGTGGGATACGCTGCCAGTGATTTGATGAAAATAATTTTATTGAAAAAAAAAACAATATTATACCAAGAACATAAACATAGAAAAATTCTGGAAACCGATTTAAACTAAAATCTAAACAATAATAAAGTAGTTGTAATAAAAAATGAAAATAGCAGTAGCTAAAAAAAAATGGTAATTAAGTTAAATACTGTATCATTGAAGCACCTTTGAAAAATTTTTCATGTTATAGTTACTAATTAATTAATATAATATATTAGAAACCAATTTATTAAATTTTTTCCAATACAATAAATACAATGACTGTACAATTAAACAACTTAAGCTTGACTAGATATTTATTGGTAAACATTAAAGTACATTCTATAAAGCTTTAGTAAAATATACTTAAAAAATGTAGGATATAATAGGTAAAATAAAATAGAATCATCAATGATTTAATTATTAAAAATATGAGGGGTAACAATAATTTCTTCTTTTTTCCAAGAATAAGCATTTATTTAAGTAGCTACTTATAATTTTTACAATTTATTTATTTGCTTGTTCATCCTAATTTAAGCATTTACTCTTTTGTTTTTTTTATACCTAGATCCATTTAATAAACGATCTGATAAACTATTCTGATTTAATTTTGCCTTTCTTACATCTAATAAGATGTCTGAATCTGAATCTGTGTCTGATAATCCCAAGTGTGTCAACGTTGCTAAATAATAAAAAATAAGGAAGAATAAATTGATTTTAATTCATAAATTATTTTTTTTTTTTTAAAGTTAATTTTACTCTTCATTGAACGACTTTCACCATCTCCAACTAGTTTATATTTTTTTATTTTTCTCTTTGTAGAGCATAAACGATTACAAAAACATGCGATACTCCAGAAACAAAATACAGTAGTCACAAACATTGCAATTAATATAATAACTACATACAAAATACTCCAATCTAAAATAATGATATAAATAAAAGTTTTATAGAATTTAGCCTTATTTTAATCAAATATAAAAATAGAGAGTTAGTGATTTAATTAATCATTATAAACTTACCACAATTAGATTCACCATCACTAAATAGGGTTCTGTAAAGATTATGCATCCAAAATGCTTCACAAACACAAATACGTGTTTCTTCTTCACAAATTCCATGACCTGAGATTTAAAAATATGATTTTTTCTTTAATCCTTTATCTCTTTGTGTTTAATAAAAGTGAACAAATTAATTCATTAAAAAAATATTGAAAATTATTTTTAGCTAAAACCAAAAACTTAACCTAAAATTAAAACACTTAAGTTATCTAATTTATTTAATACTTTTTTCTAATAAAGAAAAGTTAGTTTGAAGTATTTCAAATAATAAAAATTGTATTTTATACAATACCATATTAACATACCTGAACAATTATTCTGACAAATTGTAGTTTGAATATTATCAACAGATAATTGCAATAAAGATGAATCTTGTTTCAGTTTAGCTTTTAACATTGATACCACATCAGGGCCAGGTAGAGTATTGTTTTTACTATCATTGACAAAAAAATATAATTGTGCTCTTTTGGAATTTTGTTCTTCAGACCATTTTCTCACTTTAAGTTGACTTCCAGTCGGTAGTAACATACCTAATTTTAATATTACTTCATCTGCTTGTCTTTGAGTAAGTCTACTAGCTTCAATATAAAGTGTTAAACTTATAATTGACTTTGCTATTAGATCTAATTATATCAATAAATAGTTGGATTATTAAATAACATTTTGAAATATTAAATCATGATAGAATTAAATTAAAACTATGTTTACCAGATTTAACATTGACTGAAACTGTATCTTCACTGGTTGCTCCTTGATCATCAGTAACTTTTAAACGAAACACATATCTTCCTTCTACAACATTGGTTACCTACACAAAAATTATTTATACAAAACTATACTAATATATTAACAACAATTTTTTATTATGTATATCTTGTTTTAAGGCATTCAAATTACATACCACTAATATAGGAGAATATTCTGAACCTAAGATAATATTTCCAGCAGCTAAAGAGTTTTGTTCTCGGATCCAATTCCATTTAACAATAGCCAAATCATCCCAAGATAATGATCCATTAAGAACAATTGCATTCACTGGCAAAATGACTGTTTTGTCTCCACCAGCATTAGCTTTAGGTGGTGTATTTTTATCTAAAATTGAATAAAAATAATTATATTACAAATTAAAATCCTAAAAATTATTTTTATTTAAAATAATTTATTTTTTAATAGCTTTATTGTTTATAATAATTGTTAAAAAAGTTTAAATCAATTAAACTTATTTAAAGACCATACTTAAATGGATTATATACTTTTAAATCTATCAGTGAATGTACAAGTTATATTTAATGTAGTAAAACTTACTTTGATTTACTGTTATTCCTATAATATCAGATGCATTGTTACCGTTACCATCAGTAACTGTAAGTTGAATTAAATATGAGCCTTTAGTTAGTTCTGTCACATTAGTTTTTGATTCATTTGCTTTACTAAAATGTACTATTGATGGACCACTAATGAAATGTTTATCATAATTAGGAATAATTACTAAAACATTAGATTTTACTACTATATTGTCACTTAAGACACAACACTTCATATCTCAATTTTCTAAACTTTTCAGAAGAGTAAAAAAACTGGTATATTTCTATTATATTTTAGTTAACGTGTATAATAATTTTCACAATTTTGATAAATAACCGTTTTTCTAACTGTTTTTATCAGACAACCCTAATCAATTTCTCGTAAAATTTAATACAAGGTTAATTTGGCCAAAATGTAAAATATGTTGTTGTATTTTAAGGTATGACATGATATACCTAATTTGATGCCATTTCCATTTTTGAATTCCAATATCATCACTGCTTTTGGATCCATCCAATAAAGTCCATGTTTGAGGCAAAGATATCGTATCATTTTTTCCAGCAACAGCTAAGAAAATAAATAATCTTATATTACTATACAAATATAATATACGGGGCATAATTAGAGGAGGATAACTAGGATAGATTATAAGAGCACAATAATTTAAATAGAGAAGGCAAATTTTTTTTTTTTTTGTTTTGTGAGGATATTCTTCTAAAATTCATAGATTCATATTGTCAATTCCTCTAATACAAAATCCTAATTATGCCTCAAAAATAAAAATAAATTGAACTCACCATTTGGAGGTTTATTTGTTGGTGGTTTAACAAAAACATGTACCTCAGAAGGACTTGAGGTTTGATTTGCATTGTCTGTCACACGTAATACAAATGTGTAAAGACCTTCCTCTAAATTGGATAATCTAGGAAATGGAGTTCGTGTATCCTGATAGTATAATTAAAAATACCATATATTTAAAGAAATATTCTTTCAATAATATTTTTTTTTATTTACTTGTATATCAACAGCTTTATTTTGATCAGATGAGCTTTTTGTCCATTCCCATGCAACTATACCATGATCATCAGTACTTAAACTTCCATTTAATGTAACGTTTTTCACAGGTAAATATACAACCATATCTTGACCAGCATTAGCCTCAGGAGGATAATCTGGTACACGAGTCACTGTAATATTAGCAGTAGTTGAATCAGTTGCATTCCATGCATCCATAACTGTTAATCTTAAAAGAAAAAAAACATTGATTAAATAAAAAATCTAATTTAGAAGATCATTTAAAATTAACAAACTTAAAAGTGTAATTTCCTGGAATTTGTAAATCATTTAATTGCAAAGTTGGTGTATCAGGTGGTAAATGAGGCCGGTAACCTAATTGCCCTTTTTGCAATTCCCAACGCCAGTGAGTAATACCAGCATCATCATAACTCATTGAACCATCAAGTACAGCAACAGTATTAGGCAGTTTAACCACTAATGATGATGGTTGAATAATAGCCTTTGGTGGAGTATTAATTCGTTGAGCTACAATAATTGGTAAATAAATTAAAACACAACATTCAAATTAAGTTACTAGTAATATAAACTAAAAAATGTTTAAATTACGTGGTAAAACTGTAACATTGGTTTGTGCTTCACCAGAAGTACTAGTACTAGTTACAGTGACTTTGAATGTATAAAGACCTTCAACTAAATGAGATAATTTTAAAGTACTTCCATTTTGATCATTCATAGATACTGTTTGACCAGACCCTTGAGTTTTTGAAATTAATGACCATTCATATTGATAACTATGGCCTAAAAATTAAAATTTAACATTATCAAAAATTGACACATTCAATTAAATACTTTAAATCTTTTATAAACCTGTTTCATCGGCAGGAACTGTATAAGCAGATAAAGTTACTTCATTTTCAGGTAATCTAACAGTTTTTGATAAAACTGACACAACTAATCGTTTAACTTCTGGAGGTTTTTGAGATTCTTCTTCAACTGATTCCTAGAAAAATATAGAATATTTTCGAAGTAAATAAAAAAAATAATTATTTTCAACTTATAAAAGTATAGTCATATGTTTTACTTTTTTAAATGAATTTAAAGGTTGATCAATAATATCATTAACTCCGTCAATGATAAAACCTGTATTGTTAAGGCCTATATTTGAATTCATAGGAATGCAGAATTTTTTAGATTCATCAAGTTGATAACCAATAGAGCAAATACATATATCAATTTGTGGGTCACATGACTCATTTTCAGAACAATCTGTACTTTTATCACATAATTTATCCAAAGAAAAAATTTTTTCTTCTTTATCACCACTGAATATTAATTTTTAAGAATGATAAATAGTACAAAATAAATTTATAAAATTTAATTCAATAAACTTACTCTTGATAAAGTGAATTATCTAAGTCATTTAACAAAACTTCATTCCAAAATTTAGCTGGTAAAACAGGAGAAACCAATACCATTTTGAAATCTAAAAAACTAGAATGATCTTTAGCAAAAACTGGGGTACAATCCTCATTTGTTTTACAAGAAAGCTGGAATTAAAAATAATACATATTATGTATAACTTATAATTAAAATATATAAGTAGATTTTTATATTTATAACTGGTTCAAATTGACATTTTTTGAAATACTTAATAATACATAATTACAATTACAACATTTATTCTACAATAGTTAAAACATTTTGTAAACATTATTTTTTATTTCAAAATTAATATCTTTACTAGATATTTATATTTAAAGAGTTATTATTTTAAAATACGAAAGATATGATTATTTTTAATTGTTCAATACTAATGCATTAAAGCAAATAAGGAATTTTTTATTTAAGTAAATATAAATATCAATGTCTTACTGTATAACAATCTTTTTTGTGCATAAATAAAATATTGCATCCATAAGTTTCACAACATTTTGCTATACAACCATCAAATGTAACATTTGGAATTTTTTCATATATTCCTGCTGATTCTTTACCTAGAAAAATGTCTGTTAAGAAAAATTATATTTCTTTAATTAGCAATTAATTTTACTCACTCAGTGGCCTATAACCAACAAATATCCATGGATATATTTTGGGACATAAATCTTTACGACTACGTATACTACTGTGCAATCCTTCAAGTAAAAGACAAGCAAGAAGAAAATAAAAATATAAGTTTTGAATAGGGTTCATTATGTATTAATTTAGTTCCAATATGGAAATGTATTTTTTAATTGGTATAGTGGTGGGCATTTAAATATTATAAAAAAATATAATTTTTATTTTAATATATTACAAATATCACATAACTGAACAAAGATATCGAAAACGAAGTTTCTAAATGTTAATATTAATAAAAATAGTAGAATAAAATTTGTGAAGTACAACACTTAACATTAATAGCGAAATATTAAAAGAGTCATTGCGAAATTAACGAATGTATAGTAAGTATTGATAAGATAAAGAAACTTTGTGGGTGGTTGTTATCTCTTTTTCTAAAAAATACTTGACAATCAATAAGGTTACACTACAAAAAAAATTATTTCCTTTTGCATCAATCTATATTTGAAATCCAAAATAACTCTAATAACTCCTACAGCTCTTTTATTTCAATCGAAGTGCAGTATTTCATGAATATTATGTTACTTATTTATTTAACTTTCTTATAAGACAATTGGAATGTTACCCTTTAAAATTTACAGTACCTTTTTGTACGTAGGTATTACAATCATACTAAATTAAATAACTTTTTTTATGAATTAATCAGTAATGTTTAGTCATTATAAATGCCTTTTTAATAAGTTACAAATTTTTACTCCGCTAAAATAAATAAAGATTAGAAAATATTTCAAGGAATATCTAGGAGACATATATCTCTTTAGAATTTGGATATAGATAATATGAATAAAAACACAAAGGTCTACAAATCAATAAAGTTATCACTATATGGGCGTTCTCACGGGGATATAACCCCTTACGATGTAAATAAATATATATATGTATTATAAGCAGTCCACGAGGTTGGTACTTAACCCCTAGAATTGAAACATTACTCAAAAGTTATAGTAACTGTATTCATAATGGTACCGTTGTTCCCGAAATACTTATCTATGATTTTTTAGTAATTTCTGCGGCTTTTTGAAATAATTCTTTTTAATCTATTAGTTTTCAATTAATATTTTTTGAATCTCAAATTATATTATCATATAATAAGTAATTAATTCTTATTATATACTTAATTTATTTTGATTATAAATATTTTTAATCAATATTGTTATCTATTCTATTTAAATTTAAGAACTAAATATTTTTAATTTCTTGTAAAATACTAGGAGTTTTTTCAATTTCTTTGTTCAGAATAAAAAACAAATATGGTACATTTAAAATAATAATAACAATAACTTTAAATAGTTCATCGTATTTATTATTTTGTGCTAAATACCACTGCTTATGGACATTTTGATAAGATAATTTATTTTTGAACTGTAGACGTTTTGTAAAATATTTTTATATGTTACTATGTACATGTTATGTACAATATGTAAATATTAGATGTTTTGGGAAGATCCAAACGCCCGTAAATAAATTCGTTTCAAAATTATAACACATAATAATAACACTTTATTGGTCCCATTAATTTTATTTCATCACTATATTTCTGTTGATTAAACTGAAATTCAGTCAATCTATATAGTTTTATCGGCGTAACTAAACAGCAGTGGTCAGTTCTGGACATAATAATTACTTCATTTTCTTTGACCGAGACTGGTCAAACCTTAGTATTAATTAATTTTATTCTTTTGACTCTTTATACATGATTTTACTTACCCCACGTAGGGTTAGGGTTTTTATATTTTCCCTATCTTTAGTAAATCATTTTTTTTATTAAAAGTATGAAACTATTGGATAACTTATATTTATATGAAAACTTATAGATATAAATAATTTAACGATAGCACATTGGGGTCGTAGCATGGTGTGAATTTAGCATAGTTGGGACAATTATAGATGATATCTGATTAAAATCACTATCATAAAAAAAGGTTCGAAGGGATGAAGGAAGATTTTAAGAAATTGGCGGATTATTCCAAAAGCAAAATTAACTCCTATTTACTTATTTATATCCTGAATATGAATATGTTAACATGAATAAATAGTTAATAAATTTAAATTCATTTATTGTTAAATATTTATTAAATTTGTTCAACTTCGACGGTCATTTGCACATAGAAGATAGGATGTCCGGACAATTTTTTTTTTATTTATAGTACGTAACATAAGCTATAATTTAACATATAATTAAAAGACGTAGTATTTACAGAACATTTTCAAAAGTTGAAAAAATTGATTTTTGTGAAAAAGTTTTTATTTTGAAATATTTTATTTTAGTTTCAACCCAACCCAACCAAACTTCATGGGCAGATAAATAGTCAGGTTTTCAAGAAATTTATATAAAATGAAAGGAAAGTACTTAAGGTTTCTATATAGCAAAAATTATTTTCATTTTTCATTTTTAAAAAAATTATAGCAGTTAAGAAAATTAAATTAATAAAAATGTCAAAATTTAACGATTTTAAAAATTGTAATTTCTTTTTGACTTTTCGCCCTTTACAAGAAACGAGGGAAATCTTTTCAATTTTTAAGAGCAATGTCCTCAATTAAATACGATTTGTGATCTTTTGACATATTGTCGAAAGAAATTGGTTCGGTGAGAGCTTAAAAAAAAAAAGCGACAGACATAAAAAAAAGGAATTTAATACCTTCTCAGTTTTATATCATATCTAAAATTTAGAGAACTGTTGACTAAACATTTACAAAAATAAAAATATACACTTGTAACAACTAATCTTGCTCTCTATAAATATATTATATTTCATGGAAAAGAAAATAAAAATTTGAGATTCATGATAACTAATGTATGATATTGATAATGTATCTAATGTCACTTAGGTTCCTGAAATCATTTTTACGGAATCTTTGATCAACTTCTGAAACTCGAATTTTTATAAAACGCCATTTATTATTTTTATAACTATATACTAACTTGAAAATTTGTCAGTTTCAACATTTATTGTTTAATTTGTGAGCATGCCAAAAAATAAAGGTACATGTTACAAATAATCTATCAAAATATTCACTGTTACTAAATATCTACTAATTTATTTTATAGGTAAAGGAGGTAAAAATCGTAGACGTGGTAAAAATGAAAACGAAACTGAAAAACGAGAATTAGTTTTTAAAGAAGATGGACAAGGTAATTTTTAATCCTTTATAAATAAGTTTGTAAAATCACTTATCAAAATTATACATATATGTTGTAATAATAGGTTTTTTTTATTAGAAAACCTGAACAAATTAGAGTTAAATTCTATTTCCATTCTTTAATTTTGTAGATAAGTAGTTTTATTGGATTCAATAGCTTTTAGAATCTTTCTATACTCTTATCTTCTATAGAGAACTAGTCTACTAGAGTGTATTTTATACTGTTTATATGTTAAATGAATGTAACGTTTCAGCATGTTAAAAAAATTGATAACTACTTAAAAAATAGTTTATCAATAAAATATGTGTTTAACTTTACTTAAGATGTAGTTGGGTTAATTTATCTATCATAGATTTCTCATCAATTTTATTTTTGTATAAAACTTATAATTAGACTGAAATTATAACATTCAAGTATAACCTATATAGCTTGTTTTTTTTTTTGAGCTATACAAGCCACTTATAATTATTGTCTATGTTTAAAATTGATCTGTTATATTAAAGTTTTACTTGTGGATACATGATTATTTTGATTATAGAATATGCACAAGTCACAAAGATGTTGGGTAATGGTCGTCTTGAAGCAATGTGTTTTGATGGAGTGAAACGACTTTGTCATATTCGAGGAAAACTTAGGAAAAAGGTTTTATAACTATTTTAGAAATAATTTTTTTTATTTATAAAATTCAATCAGATAACATTTATTTAGTGTAATACTTATAGTATAATAATCATATTTTGAATAAAATTATATGACTAAGTTCTAGTATGAGTTAAAAATAAAACTTTTTTGGCGCTTTCTTACTTTAACTTTAAATATATGCATAATAAATTAGGTAATAGAAAATTAATGTAAAACGGACCTATTTTTATGAATAAAAAATTTAATGAATTAAAACTATTTGTTTTAAGGTTTGGATCAATCAAGGTGACATTGTATTAATTGGTCTTCGGGATTACCAAGATACAAAAGCTGATGTTATTTTAAAGTATACACCTGATGAAGCACGTAATTTGAAAACATATGGAGAATTTCCTGAAACTGGTAAGATTAAAAATAGTGTTTGTTTTTATAAATACTTTTATTATTTTTCTTTTCTTTTTTTAGTTCGTATTAACGATACAGTTACATTTGTGGATGATGGTTTGGATGAAGATATTGAGTTTGGAGATGATATCAGTGATGATGAAGAAGGAGATACTGTTGATAATGTATAGTATTTATATTTATTTTAGTTTTAATAACAATAGTTTTCATAAAAGAATTTTTATTTTAGATTTAAAGTTTCCTGGAAAAAAAGAAAATTTTGTTGAGCATAATTTGTTTAATTATCAAATTAAAGTCAATCACAATCTAAGATAAAATATATGGTTACATTGCTTGATATAATTGTGTTAATACGTGTGTTTATGTATTTTTATACTATATGTTAATACTCCAATTAATATTTTACTATAATTCTAAATGTTCTTATATTGAAGAAAAATAAATCTCACTGTACCTTTTTTACCTTTTAATTAATTAATTAAATTAAATAATCTTAAAAATATTTTTGCCTTAATTTATATAAAATTAATAAATACATTATTTTAGATATTTAAATGAATACTACTTTAAGTCAACTACACTGACTAGTAGATGAAAATATAATTTTAAGTTAAGATTGATAACTTGGTGGCTTTTGTTGTAACCCTACCGAATGTTTATGACATGTAAAAATCAATGTCCTAAAACTAGGGACAATAACAGTTTAATTTTTAGTTAGTAAACTAAACAATACGAATGTCACTTAATTGTTTGTATTTTTCACATTTTCTTAGCAAACAGTGCAATTTGCATTTATAAAAAAAAATACTCATCTAGTATTATTAATTTCTTTTTCAATAGACAAATAATTTTTATTCTATTTAAAAATATATCCAGAAGCGGGTCAATGGCATATTTATAAAGGAACTATGGGATCTGACTCCCAATTGACATAAAATCATAACAGATATAGAATATGAGTGGGAGTGAAATTTCTCTCTTATTCTACGTTTTGATAGATGTACATATTTTTCTCATAACTTAAATAGTTTAGTTGATTAGTAACTAAATATTACTTTTACTATTTCTTTCTACAATAAATTTTAAACTTAAACTTTTAAATTTTAGTTTTTTATTAATTTGAATTCTAAAAAGAGAAGAGAGATTTGTTGCTGAAGCTCTTTCTATTTTAGATTCGATGCGAAGCTGAGAAAGTATTAGTTTTACTATGATGTGTTTTTTTTTTTGTGTCTACCACTTTTTCTCAGCTTTCACCGAACCGATTTCTATCAAGAATACATCAAAAGATCACAAATCGTATCTAGTCGAAGAAATTACCCTCAAAAATTGAAAAAATTTCCCTCATTTTTCTGTAAATGGGGTAAATCTCCAAAAATATTACAAATTTAAAAATCGCTAATTCTCGACAATTTTTCAATTTTTTTTACTTAAAACTGCCATAACTTTTTTAAAAATGACCAAATCAATATAATTTTTTTTATAGATGCTTAATGTCTTTACCTATTATTTGGTAAATTTTTGTATAAATTTGATCCATTACCTACCCACAGGGAGAGCTATAAAATGATAACTTTTTCACAAAAAATGTACTTTTTCAACTTAACTTTTGAATGTGTTCCGGAAAGTCTGACACTTTTATATATATCTTAAATTAAAGCTAATGTAATGTACTTTATTATGGAAAAAAAAATATCTGACTTTATTTTGTCTTCACGGTGAAAATGTCTACCAAATGCTATTTCTGTGTGAACATTCTCGATTTTGTATTTTACATTTTATTATGCTGTAACTTTTTGAAAAATGTATGGATCAATAAAGGTTTTTCATGGGAAGTAATATTTATATACATTTTTCATCGGCATTGCAATATTAAATTATTGAATATTAGTTTCATACTAAATTTAATTACTATAATTAGTATTTACTTATATATTACTTTTATATTTCATAAAATTTGTAATCAAGATATAAATATGGAAATAGAAGTTAATTTTGCTTTTGTCATTATTCAATATTTTTTTATAATTTAACAATATCTACTAATTTGCATCGAAGCATTTCCTATGATAGTGATTTTAATTACTGTTAAGGGTGGCCAACTCCAAGTAGTTGGGATAAGAACGAGGAAGAAGATAAAGAAAAAACCCAACACAGGGGGGTCGCGGCACAGTGGTGACGTGTTATAGATGGATCAAGTATAATGATATCTGACAGTGATTAAAATCACTATCAAAAAAAAACGCTTTGATGCAAATCTTTAGATACTGTTTTATTTTAAAAAATTGGTGGACTATTCCAAAAGCTACATGATCTGCTAGTTCATTATTAATATCCTAATTAAGATAAAGTATGTAGAATGAAAAAGGGATTATTAAAAAATATTATTTCTCATAAAAAAATAATATTATAGTTAATAAGTAATAAGTATAAATAATAAGTAATTATATTAATATGTTTATTTTTAAAAAAGTTACGGCAGTTTTTAGTAGAAAAAATTTCGAAAATTAGCCAGTTTTAAATTTGTAATTTTTTCGGAGGTTTCCCCCATTTACGGGGAACGAGGGAATTTTTTTTCAATTTTTGAGGGTAATGTCTTTGACTAGATACGATTTGTGATCTTTTGACGTATCATTGAAAGAAATCGGTTCGGTGAGAGCTGAGAAAAAGTGGAAACAGACACAAAAAAAAAACACATCATAGGAAAACTTTCTTTAAAGGAGAAATAAATGAAATAATGAGAGTATTTTTTTCTTGAGTTTCCAGAATACACTATTGTGATCCATGATTAATAAATATTTATTAACCGTAAACAATAAGTTATGGATAACATACGTGATTGATTAAAGTTTAAGTTTTGTTGTAATATGTGCAATGCTTTTTATTACGTATTAATAAAAAAATATTTGTATTTTATATTTCTTGTCTACAAACATTTATAACATTTATTATATATGTGTCAACATTGTGAACTTGTATCTTTTCTTAAAATAATAATCATGTTATATTTAATTTTACACAATAAACTGAACATCACTAAAAGCTCTGACGACAATATCCTAAGATGGGTATAATTACAAATAATATAAAAGGTCTCAGTTTTGCTTGCACAAACATGGATCAATTCAAAACACAAATTATTTAATTTAATTATTAATAATTAGTTAATGCTTGGTCATGTACTTCGAATGTATGTCAGAGAAATGACCTATGCCATTCCAAGAATTCCTCAGTATTCCCACTAAAGCACATACCAGATAATTCAATAAACGCTTCAAGTGGATGACGGATAGACGTTGGCCTCTACAAAAGTTCCTCAGCGAATAAAAGAGGATTTTAAGTGACTTAAATCACTTTCTTTTATATTTACTTGTCTATATTGTTATAAACATTCGAACTTCGATAGAACCTCTATGCTAACCAATTGATTAAAACCCAAACATCGCAACTTGGTCAAATAATTATTTGACCAATCACAAAACTTGCTATTATTATTTTTATTATTACAATTTGTTATTAAATCTTACATATTTCACATTTGTAACTCAAAAATTATGTTTTTAAGTTGAGTAGATATTTTTTTTTTATAAATATTTCTTATATTTTAATTTTGTAAAACGATTAAATATTATGAGATTATCAAGTCCGTATTTAGGTAAGACTGAATGTTCGCCAATCCCCAAGTATTTTACGTAGTTTAGAAGTCTTGCACAAAAATATGACAAATTAATTTATAAAAAGGCCATTGGGTTATAAAATAATAAATTTTTAAAATTCGCGTATATATTTAGACCAGGGTCTCAAAAATTATAGCACCACCACTAAAGAGGACATTGTTTATCTTTCGCTTTTCTGAAAATATTTATATAAAACTTTATATATAATTTATTAGGGAGAGAGGTAAAAATTAGTAACCCACTCTACATTGATTAACAAGACAAAGTCATCATCTTAAGACCCCTATTTACTTCAATAGTACATTCAAAATTCTCCGTACGGTTATTAAATTTTTATTAAAACAATAAAAATATAGTGATTGTATATTTTGTCTTAATGACGTCTGCGGTCTTACAATTCTCCATGTGCTATTTATTAAAACGTACCCAATTAAAGGAATATTATAAAATGTTTAATATATAATCGCCCCTTTTCTATCATTCAAACTAAAAACTGAATTAGTGAAATTAAGTATTCAGATTTTCTTATAAATAAGTTTAATTATAATATAAAACTAACAAAATTGAATTTTTGAATTTATGTAGTTAAATAAACACTTATACTGTATACTACTCATAACATTCAATAATTATTTGATTGTATTGAAAATTATATACAGTTATGAGAATTGAAGGTTAATTAATTTTTTATTACTAAATTCACAGTAACTAACCTTTTAAGAAGGTTAAAATTATCCTAACTTTTTGGAAATTCTACTTAGTTATTCAAAGTTTTTTCCGTTTAAAATTTCAAACGTAGATTAAAATACAGAATATATAATCGATGATATTTAAAGATCAATAAAAAATTTGAGTACTTCATTAAAAAATTTGTGTATACATTTATATTGTATAGTGAAAGAATAATTTGAATTAATAAATAATTTTTTTAATTTTAGTTAATGCAAATAGTGGTTCGTATGTGGTATTAACTGTAAAATAATTATACAAAATTAATTAATGTTCTTTAAAGATTTGACCTATTTTCACTAAACCATTATAGATTTACAATAGAATAGAACAAGACAAATATTTCCCGCACATAGAGTATTTCATTTTTTTAATAAAAGAATTGTTAAGCTGTACCGGACGAAATAATTAAATAAAACTTCACATTTGGTTGTCTCTTAAAAGAAATTTAATTTTAAAAACAATTGTAAAAGATTAAGCTAATTATTCATTCTCTTTGGGGTATTTTTATTAAATTAGTCATCATTTAAAATAATTAATAATCACACGCTCAATATCAAGTATAATTGAAAGAGTTTATTTGATGATCTCATTTATTTGTAAGTAAAATACTCGTTTTATAATCATATTTAATGCTTTTGAAATGGATGGCAATCAATAATGTATTATTTATTGGATTTAATTAGGTTTCATTAAAGTTAATATTAACAACTAGATATATCATAATCATGATTATTAAATTAAAAAAAATATTATTATATATTATTAAACTTAATTATAGCCCGATTAAAAACATCGGCTAGAAATTGATTATTCATTAACTAATTTTTTTATGCGTGTCTGTTAAAACTTATTCTTAGCTCTCGTTGGACCAATTTTGATGAACAATACATCAACAGATCACAAATCGTATCTAGTCAGAGACATTACACTTAAAAATTGAAAAAATTTCCTTCTTTCCCTGTTAATGAGGGAAAACCCCATAATAAATACAATTTTAAAAATGGATAAATTTTGATAATATTATAACGTTTTATAAATCAAAACTGCTATAACTTTTTCAAAAATGTATGGATCAAAAAAAATTTGTTTGTTATAGATGCATTAGGTATTTACCTATTATAAGGTATAAATATATATATATATATTTTAATCTGATTATTTAACTGCCCAAAGTGGGGGATTCAAAATGATAACAAAAAATTAACTTTTAAAAATATATCGTAAAAGTGGAAATTTTTTCAATTTTTGAGGGTAATATATTCTATTAAATACAAATTGTAATCATTTGACGTATTATTGAAAAAAAATTATCAAGTGAGAGCTGAGAAAAATGAATGACGACAAAAAAAAACAGATAGTAAAATTATTTTAATATGAAAAAGATATTACTTCTCATAAGGAGAGACTACAGTAATGAAGTTATTGAATCTAAATAAGTTAAACATTTTTTTCTAACTCAAAAACCTTTGTAAGGTTTTTTTAAAAATAAATAAAACACAAAATCGAGAATTATAACAAAAAATATAAAATAACAAATAAAATATTTTTGAATACGGTTGCCATTTCAACCATGAAGACAAGTCCAGAAATCAAATTTTTCTTGATATTTATTGAAGTTTATCAATCTGAATGATATAAAAATCTATTGAATTTTGAATATTTTTCACCTCAAAATAAATTAAGAATAATGCAAGAAGTCAATTTGTCGCATGGGATTCGAACCTCGTAACTTGTGTGTGCGATACAGAAGGGTTTCAGATGCGGAAACAGTTTATCGCATTTGCTATTATATAAAAAATACAATTTAAGCTAATTCAAAAATTCAAAGTCATTTATTTAACTTAGGGGAGATAAAATATTCAATATAAGTTTAAATTTATATTCAATTTAAGTTATAGATATACAGTAGTTAAGTTACATATAAGTTGTAACTTTTATAAAAATCGGCGAACTCATTACTATGGTAAACCTATATGCTATACTATATACTATGGTATAAGGTATTTTAATATAAAAAAACACAATTAAGTACGTTGTCATTTTCATCTTGACGATAATTTAAAGTTTGAATTTTTTTTCCATATAAAAATTGGTTACATACGAGTTTTAATATAAGATATATAAAAGTGTCAGTATTTCCGGAAGATTTTCAAAAATTAAGTTGGAAAAAGTTCTACTTTCTATAAGTATTTCTTAGTTTTGAACACCCTATATAAAGAAAATTAGACCGATTTAAAAAAAAATCCAGCACAGTGGGGTGGCGGTACAGTGGGGTCGTGGCATAGTTGGGTCCAGTATAGATGATATCTGACAGTGATTAAAATCACTTTCATAAAAAACGCTTCGATGCAAATCTGTAGATAGTGTTTAATTTATAAAAAAAAAAATTGTTAAAATAGCATATTTTTGAATACGGTAGCCTTTTGCGCATAGAAGATAGGTCGTCGGGACAATTTTTTATTTTTTATTTTATAGTAAATGAAATAAGCTTTAATTTGATATATGTTTAAAGGACGCAGTATTTTCGGAACATTTTTAAAAGTTCAGTTGAAAAAGATCTATGTTTTTTACAATATTTCAAGTTTTGAACGCCCCCTATATAAGGGGAAATTGTCCAATTTTAATAAAAAGTATGTCAAATGAAAGATGTACTTATAATGTATTTAGAAAAAAAAAATTGTGCTGATATATACATTTTTCAAAAAGTTATAGCATTTTTAAGTTGAAAATTTAAAATCGAAAATCGAAAATTTTAACACAAAAATAGTGTTTTTTTAACTACGGCAACCGTTTAAATGTAGAAGATAAAGTGTCGGGACAAATTTTTTTTTTATTTTATAGCACATAAAATAAGCTTTAATTTGATATATGTTTAAAGGACGCAGTATTTCCGGAACATTTTCAAAAATTAAGTTGAAAAAATTATTTTTTGTAAAAAAGTTGCCATTTTAAATCCCCCCCAATCGAGCAAGTTAAGTGATAGATTTTCAAAAAAATGATATCAAATGAAAGGAAAATATCTAAGGTTTTAGTATAAAAAAAATTATGTTGATTTGTTGATTTTTTAAAAAGTTATGGAAGTTTTAAGAAAAAAAAGTGAAAAAATTTCGAAAATTAGCGATTTCTAAATTTGTAATTTTTTTGGATATTTCCCCGATTTGCGGGAAACGAGGGAATTTTTTGCAATTTTTAAGGGTAATGTCTTCAACTAGATACGATTTGTGATCTTTTGACGTATTTTGGAAAGAAATCGGTCCAGTGAGAGCTGAGAAAAAGTGGCAACAGACATAAAAAAAAAAAAAAAACACATCATAGTAAAATTAATACCTTCTCAGCTTCGCATCGAAGCTAAAAATGTTTATCGAATGAAAGAAGTATATATCTATAGTAATTATAATAAAGAAATAGTATAGATTCATAAATTTTTTAAAAAGTTATAGCTTTATAAAGATCAAAAATGTAAAAAGAAGAATTTTTTCACAAAAATACCATATTTTTGAATATGGTATTTTCTAGTATACGGTATAGATCCAGAGGTCAATTTTTTTTTGTTTATAGTAAAGTATATTACATAAACCTAAATAAAAGATATATATATATAAGTGTCAATATACCGGAACATTTTTGAAAGTTAATTTTTTTTAAGGCAAAGAGTCAGACTATTAAAATAATGTACCAAATGATAGGTAAATATCTAATGTATTTATAAAAAAAATTTTAAGTAAAAAAACGGTAACACAGGGGAGACGTGGCATAGTTGGGACAAGTATAAACGATATCTGGCAGTAATTAAAATCACTATCATAGAAAACGCTTCTATGTAAATCAGTAGATAGTGTTTAATTATAAAAAATTAATGGATAATGACAAACGCAAAATTAACTCCTATTTCCTTATTTATATCTTGATTACAAATTTTATGAAATATAAAAGTAATATATAAGTAAATACTAATTAAAGTAATTAAATTTAGTATAAATCTAAAATTCAATAATTTAATTTTGTAGTTTATACTGAGAAATTATTAAAATAATAAAGTAGTTAATATAAAGGGATTGATACAATACTTTTCGAAAAAATTTTTTTGTTACTTATGAATAAATACACTGGACTACAAGAAACTTTCATTAGAATCGAAAATAAACTTTTCTAAATCAACATTTCGGGCTGTTTTCAAATCTGTAATTTGACTTATTCTATCTTTTCTAATTTTTAATATTATTACTAATTAGTAAAAAATGAGTATTTACGTTAAAAAAATTTGTTTTCAAATTATTACTCATTTTGATTTTTAATATGCTAAAAATAATCAGTGCTCAATGCCGTTTTTAAACCATTTTTTTTTAGTCCTTTTAAGTTGATTTTTGTGAAAGTTTATAATAATTTTATGAGAATTAAAAAAATGTTATTGTTAAGATTAATATGCAGTCAGGAAATTTATCAAAAAAGCTCAATATTTTTTTGTATTTTTGCTGTAATAGATAATTTAAAAAGAAATCATAGTTATAATTTCTAAGTAACTTTTGATATTTAAAAAGGTTCTAAAACTGAAATATGCAGAACTTAATTAATTTTAATAATTTACTAAAAACAGCAAACAAATAGTTGTTAAAAATCTACTGAATTGTGCGTATTATAAAAATTTTATTATAATTTTAAAAATCTATTGTTAAATTCAGATGAAACTGAAATTTTTTTTTTTTTAATGATTTATTTAGCAAAATGTTACCAAAAAATTTTGAAAAAGGTAATGTTTTGTAAAAAATTTGTCATTTTGAAATCTAGTGAGAGTTGAGAATGAGAATGTTAACAGACAACAACAAAAAAAAAATAATAATAATAAAAAACACATCATACTAAAATGAATAGCTTCTAAGCTTCGTATCGAAACTAAAAATTGTAGTACATAAATTCCAGTACATCTATTAAAAGACCTATGATCGACCTATCGGGAACTTTGCTGGTATATCGGTAATGAAATCTGTGGTTGTTTGCGTGTAAAAGATCATATTGTACTTTATAAATTTGTAAATGTATTTTTCTATTCAATAAAACACGTAAATATTATACAAAAATAAGAGTTTCTGTTTTTTCTCGAAAAACAAATAACTGAAAAATGTTTGTAATAATATTAGATCTTTTAGTTTTGTTTATTAATTAGAAGCATATTAAATTAATCTGAACATTTTCAAAACAAATCTTTTAATGGTGAAAACCGATATTTATAATTATTTATATTCAATAAATATGTTTTCCAATTGAAATAGAAAATTATCTAATGAAATAATGTTTAACTAGAAATAGTATTAAGTTCATATAAATTTCACATTAAATTTCATGTCAGACAACCGCAAGTACCTTCGCGCCAATTAAAGGGAGCTCCTCTTGTACATAGAACAAACGCGTGATACAACCGTTTCATGCGATTTATATCCGTAGCTCTACCGCAGTGGTGCAGGCGGTGGGGCCAGCTGAGCAGCTGCGCGGTATGTATATCAAGGCGGCGTAGACGGCCACTGCAACTTGGGAAGTAAAACCGTAGCGTCGCGCGCCACAACAGTTCCGTGTTGTCGTACCGTTGGGTCCGATCATGTGCCATCGACAGAACTGTACACGCGCATCCACGTGCTCCTCGACGTATTCAAATAAACCGGTACCGTTTCTTTGTACGAATTTAAGTCTTCACGCGTAATTATCCAATTTTTATCCATAACTATTTCTATCAGTAGCAAAACACTAGAAATTAAACCAAATATTAATATATTTTTTTTTGTTCGTCATTCGTAGAAAAAAATACGAGTATTATTATGGCGGCCGCGGCCGCGTTAGGAGTGTTGACTGTGTTAGTGCTTCTTGTAAGAGCTCAAACGTTTTCTAACGGAGTGGACGGGTTCTTTTCAGCCAATAATCGGTATGCAAAATTAGACAAATTCCTTCACGACCGAATAGGTTTGGTTGGTAATAGGTCCAAGACGCTTATGCTTACCACAGACCGAAGCTTTTTAATAAGAACTTCAACGTCAACTACTGAGCCACTCGAAAACAATAATGAAAGTAACGATGAAAACGATGAAGATAATGATGACGATGATGATGATGATGATGAAGAAGAAGAAGACGATGAACTAACACAAAAGGTTGTTAGGCTTAGACATTGGAATCGATGGGATGGAGACAACACCCTTTTTGATAAGGTAAACCAATATCAGTTATTTTATTAGTTAAATAAACATATTTTTCAGTTCATAGCCTATTATTTATTCATACGACAAGTTTGTTATATCGAAAGACTTGTGTGTCTACTGGGTTATTTACCAAAAACCTCAAACTTTTTTCAGTATTTTTTGCCGACAAAATCAGAGAAATAATTTTAAATTCTCTGTAGCCAATTGTTTTAAAATAAAATACGTTTGGTGTAATTTTTCTTGTCATTTCTATGAGTTAATACGCAATAATTTTATTTAGTAATAGTAATTTTAAAAATAAAGTACATTTGTAACCTATTTCTATTTCAGTACAATTTCAATTTTGTTTAATTTATTGGAATAACCTGGTTTCTTGTGCAAGATGGTAAAATTAGTTTGTTAAGTCTATAAACTCAAAAAAGTATAAAAAATATTAGTTAATCTTAAATTTAATATACTTGACAATAATTGAATAATTATGTAGAATTCAAATTTCTATATTAACTTAAATATTTAGGAAATAACATAGTTGTTTGCTTGATAAAATTAATAATAAAAATTTATCAGATGTAACTTATTAAATACATAATTTCAGTGAATAACACTCTGTATGTATTATGATATGCATAGTGAATAATACATTACAAATACCGACAAATTCTTATTATCGTGTTCTCGTTAAAAAAAAATTCATTAAGTAGTCAAAATAATTATGCTTGAGGGTATTATAACGAGAAAACAATAAGTTTAATATAAATCACTATGAATACAAGTACATTCGATCGGGTTGATATGATCGCATTATAATAAGTCACATAAAGAGGACGCCTCCTAATATCTTAATTAAGACATTTGGGCTGATTATGTTTTATAATTAAATTGGAGTATTGTCCAACGTAGTCAAGATGTAATATCTGTATATATTTTTTTTACTTTTTGTCCTTATTGAATTCTCAAAAATCATCAGCAGTTCACAATGATCTCCCGGGGTTATTAGTAATGCGACACATTTTTTGGAGTCCTTGGAAAATTTTTGTTTAAATGATTAATATTCGTTTGTCAATGAGCGTTAGGTAATTATATTTTTCATAACATCGTACGAATGACTTATTTCAAATTGCGACTCATAAAAAACGAACGTAAACATAATAAAATTACAACCGTAATACACTTGATCTACTGAAATTTGATTATTCAAACCATTTGATTACGACATGAAATATCAAAGAAGTATTAATAAGACTTTTCGCCAAAATTGCTTTGCAGAGAAGTATTTAAAAAACTCATTCATTGTTTATTTGATTAGTACACAAAAATTGCGTGTAGTGCATAGGTAAAATCATTTATTTTAATGACTACTATTTATGGCGAAACATTTTATAACATTTATTAAACGTTCGCCCTAAGGCAAAATACAATGTACTTTAGAATAAGTTATAATTAACTAATAATCTCAGGTATTACAAAACCAAAAACGCTAAAATTGCTTACTAATATTGTATAGTATGTAACATTAAGATAGTGTTGTTGTTTTAAATACTTGAACATTTTATAATATAATTTTTATATATTTAAATAACTTTTTTTATCTCAATTAGTGTATCAATATGGAACATAGTTTAATAATTTAATATTAATGTGACCTGGTAAATAAAAATCGTTGAAGTTAATTTTTATTTAAGAATAACAATTATTTAAAAATGTCAATATAGTCAAATAATAGAACTTTTGTTTTACAAGTGTTGTGAACGGATGCATAATACGAGAAAAAGAGAATTTTATATTTTCAAAAATTTAATATAATTTAAGATGTAGTGCAAAATTATACATACAGATTTATTATTGTTGTTTATGACGATTATTTTTTAAATTTATATGATTCTCAATGTTTACATAGAAATTTTTACTATGTACTTGTCAAAAATAATTTGTTTTCATTATTTGTATGCTCCAATGTATTCATAAGTAATAATATTTTAATTATTTTTTCTAAGATAGTGGAATGCAATAATATATTAATTATGTAGTTATAGAATTAGGGAAGTTTTTATAATATTAAAATCCAATTAATGGAATGAATTACACATATAAGATAACAATAATATATCGTAAGTTGGTAGAAAAAAAATAATTTTTGTAACCGGTATTTGGAACTCTAAATCGATTTCTGTAATGAAAATTTAATTATAAGATCAAATAATTTTTTATTGACCTATAATAATGCCCTGTCGATCTCCGTAGAACTATTGAAAATTTACTTTTTTACCAAGTCAGTAATTTATGGTTTGCCGGCTCAGATAGTGGCGTTCCTCTCTTCGCGTATTTGTGTCGTACACATTCCCTCTCGTCTGCTTCACGCAATCCTTTTAAGAACGCCGCGACGCATACAAATTATCGTAAGAACAAAGTCGTCGACTATACATACCAAATGGATGACCGAAAAATCTGTTGAAAAAATGTGTATTTTAATAAATTATCCATTTAAAATAGTAAGCAGAAGTAATAATAACGCAGCTTCCATCATAACGATTCGCGCGCACGTTTCAATGAATGCAAATGCTTGTGCATTGTGTACGTGATTTATTGGTCGGTCAAAACTTTACAAATTATAACTTGCTTAGAACTTAGAGGTTGATCGAATCTCTATGCCTACATGCCATAGTAACTAAGATAATTATAATAATTATTTATCATTTACTGTATACTCTTACTATTAATAGCTCACAGAATTATATGTTATGTAATTCATTACAAGATGTGATTATTATGTTGTCAATAAAAATATATGAATGGCCTTTATGGGTCGCTATGAGCTGCAATATTTTTAACGCATTCTCTGTATGGTACCACGCAAATTATTTATAATGTTCATGAATACATTAAGCTGTCGAGACTTGTTCCTAAAATAGACTCTCACAATATCTGGTATGTTTTTAATTGACATAATTCAATTATCGTTTGTATATTTTTGTTGAGTACCATTGTCGGAATGTTGACTTTGTATATACATAAAATTAGCCAATTGCAAATAAGCAAATGTTTCGCATTTAAGGCTCAATCTCGAAAAAAAAAATTATAAGATAAATAAAAAAAGTTACACATTAAAAACAATCTGGTTTCTTTAATTAGTTTCAACAATTTAAATATTATAAATATTAAACAAATAATATTTAGTTTTTATGGGTGACCTAAAGTCAACTATAATTTAATTTTAAGCATAAAATTAAAAGTGTTTTGTTTAAGTTGTAGTGTTTTCTATACTAAATATTCTTTGATTTGTTAACTAACCAAACCTAACTCGACTGTTAAGAAAACGAAATTCTGATATGAAACACTAGTAAAAATTAGTAAATGAATAATTTCAAAGGAATGTGTAAATTTGAAAATGTTTATCTACATCCTGATTCATTCAAGAATATATTGTAATCGTAGCCAAACATAAAAAATATAACAAGCTATCAACCACTTCACATGAACTATAACAGTCATTTATAAGTTATTTATGTCCACAAAGTTTAATTTAAGTTGTGTTTAATAAGTCACGTTGTAATATGATCTATAAATTATAATGATAGTTTATTCATCGATATTGAAAATGACAAGAGATAAGTAAAACAAAATTATTACAAAATTACTCCTCAAAGTAGTTTACTCAAACTAATTAAGTGATTAATTAAGGAAATCTAAAATCGCTGAACGTTTTGCTTTTAGCATAAAAAAAATTTATTAAAATCCAACGCATTGATTTGTTTTGAGAAACTGGTTTAAGTTTTATCGTTGAGTGTCCTTAGAGTTAAGAGTAGAACATTACAATGTTCACCTGTCATCTTTGAAGTACAGTTAACGAGTAGTAATAGGGTTCCAGTATTGAGCCTACAAAAGATGCAATAAAATTGTTGGCTTGTATGTTAATTAATCTATAGGCCGCAACGTGAATTTTTCAATATGTTAATCGGAATTTTATTAAGTGACTACTGTTAAAGTCTAAAGGGTAGGTACAAGATTTATTGTACTAATTATACGAGCGGAACAAGTGAATTCCCGAGAGTTTTTACCCGGCCAAGGCGGCGTATTCGAACAATTTTTCAAATGTCTTTATATTTTCACGTCGGTAAAAAAAACATTTACTCGTGATCGAAGAGTATTAATGGTTGCGTAAACAAGCACAAAGAAACAACGCGTTCAAAGCAAGTTCAAGTCATGGTGTAAATGTTGAGAGCTGTTTTTAAGGTGAATGCACCTTCATGGCGTAGTGTTTATGCTGTGTAGTGTGTGAAAGGCCCGATGGTGTCATCAACAACAGTCAACTGCCCGCTTTTAGGAAAAAAAAAAACTGTTTTAAATGAAAAAGGAAACCCTAATTCATCCATAAAACAAAATGTGAAAACTAACAAGATTACAATAAACAATAAGAAATAAACATTAAAAAACAAATTTGACATATACGTCTGTCTTATATAAATGACGCTATGGTTTACGACACGAATGAATACGAAAATCTAGGCTGCTGTATCTATAATTAATCATGATCATATTCATGAACCATTTAAAGAGTTTGGCGGGATCTTTAGTTCTACCATTCAGTTGTAAATGAAGTAGGACTACGGTTTCATTTCAGTTTTAACATTGATCAATGTCTTTTAAATGAATTGATAGTTTGGAAATCTATCTCTATTTATTGTTAAATCAATTGAAATTGATTTGTGACAATTCTTTTCGTGGTAAACCCTTAGATGTTTTGATTAATAAGGGAATAAGGGAAGTATAGAGAAGAAAAAAATATTTCTTTCTCGCACATTCCATTACAATGTATTTATTGTAATATTTGCAAACGCGTCAGAAAATAAAAACTTTGATATGTGATAATGTTATTCATCTACAAGATTGATGATTACTTTTAAGCGAATTGGTTTTATGTTTGTATTATGTGTGGTCATCGGATTCTAGACTCATATCTAGACTTCTTCGTGATGTTTTTTTCTTAGAACAAGAACTATTGTGAGCCTACG